ATTCTGTGTGCAGGAGCCATTAGAGATCTGTTTTTTTAGCTCAAAAAACTTCTGTCGTTCCAAAATTCAACTCCATTACCATTTTCTATAGTATATGTAACATGAACTATAAGATTATGATAACCAATTTTATTTTGAACCACTTGTTGCTAAAAAAAAAAAAAAAACGGACGATCCATCACTTGTGTGGACAGATTGTCCATAATTTTAATAAAATGTGATATTTTTGATGCTTGATAAAACGTTTAATTTCTTATGATGATATAACAAGGATTATGATTTATACTGTATTCTTGCATTTGTTTACAATGTCTATGACTTCACATATCAGAAAGGAGTACTTAACAGAATACACGAAGTGTACAGCGTTTACGACGCTGTTTCTCTCTTCGCGTCCTCAGATTTCTATTTTATCTAACGTAGCACTGTTTAGATATTTTATGGCTTTGCAGCGAGAACTTCAAGATCTTTGATACATTGCTGAAGAGTTGCTTTCTCCTGATCAGGAGTGATGGCTTTCAATACTCCATCTATGATCCATTGGACCATGTGTTTCTGTGCAATTTGGCGTTCAAGATTTTGTATCTGTAGTTGGTAGTCCAAACGCTTCTTCACCTATAAGCAAACCAACAAACCAAACTCCTCAAAATATATCCATTTTCTCGTTATTCTAACTTATACTATTCGTACTTTTCTGCAATGACTCTCCTTTTTATAAAAAAAAAAAAAAAAGATCAATTATACCTCTTGGTAGACTTTCATCATACGCTCTCTGTAAGTTCCTTCCAGCTGTATCTTGATGTTCTCTTTCTTAATGTCCATTATCATTTTTTGTCCTTCTACGTTGTACTGTTGTTGTTTCATATGTTCAATAATTTCTTTATGAGTGTTTATTTCAGAGGTTCTACCTCCTTCAAGCGTATCCTCAAGTTTGTCTATTTCTTTGTCCAAATACTGAGCCAACTTAGGGCCAAACATTTTCGTAGCTCCTATGCATATTATTAGCATAGCTATACCATTATAATATTCATGCTCCATGACATAAATTTCTTTGGAGACTAAATAAGTGCTCACACTTATGGCAAATATATATGGTCCTAAAAGTACAGAATTCAAAGAAATTTTGTAAATATATATGGTCCTAAAAGTACAGAATTCAAAGAAATTTTGCAGCAATAATAGTAAGATAGTACCATTATTTCATATAGGTTTAGTGGAATTTTTAATATTACTGGAGAAAGTTAAGATCTCATAGCAATTATTTACCAGATGCACCAGTTTTTGGATAGAAGGCTTGAAACCATCCTTCAGGTATAAATCCATGTCTAACAGGAGCTGGATATATTGGCCGCTTGGGTCGTTCAGGAGATGCTGCTGTTGTAGATGTGCTTTGTGCTCCACATACTGCCATAGGCAGCAACTGGGCTAATTACAAAGTACATAAAGATGCTATAATTGATTAACTTACTAAAATATTGCATATAAGATTTAATATTAATCTTTAACTGTTTCTCTCTAGAAAACTTTATATATTTACACATAAGAAAAATTACTGTAAACTTGTTTTTTACTTAAAATAATTTTTTTTTACTTAAAATAAATAATTTCTTATTTCGTCTATAGCTTACTTAAACCATCAATAATTGACTGTTGTATTTGTTGAATATATATATATATATATATATATATATATATATATATTTTCTACATTAAAAATATATAAGAGGAAAGAGAGACAGAAATTACATGAGAGTACAAGGAGTATAGCTAAAAAGAACAGCTGTGTATTTTGAGAGAAAGATGCAAAAATGACAGTGTCGCATAACCAAGATTACACATTATATCATAAATTCAGAAATTATACACCTATTAAAAGGAAAATTATTTAAAAAAATTAATTGCACGTATAAAATATGTGAACAGAGCTTATAATATATCTGAATAGTTGCAAAACTATGAAAAGATACGATAATATCGAGATATCATTACATAATAGTAGTAATAAACTCCACGATCCGACAAAGCTTATTGCATTCGAAATAAATCGAATTCGCCTTTTTCGCAGACTAATTTCTGGAAATTTAATCATGAACTTTATCACTGTTATCATTTACCATTGCGAAGGGCCAATCTCGACAGCATTTCAAACGATACGTCTAACACTTGTAGTCAATACTCGCCACGGCGGACACCATACTTAATAGACGACGAGGTTAGAACCGTATCGCAATTATGACCCAGGAATTCGAGGGAGTACGCTGATTAGCTGCTGTAGAAATACGATAGCGCAATTGTCTATAAGAGAATTCATATTGCATTCGATATCCAATAAGAGAACAGCTTTCTAATAGAGAATTCAACTTTCCATTGGAAGCTGTTCTCCTATTGGATATCGTACGTCGTATCATCGGATGCTATGTGAATCCTCCATAACAGTAAAAACTAATGGACTTCAGCGGAAAAAGCGCTCAATGAGCAATCAGCGATTATTGGTTCTTACTGTTAGATCCCTAAATCTAAACCAATTACATTGACGAATTACTCAATTGTTGTGCAACTGTTGAGTTCGCTGAATGCACCCAATAATTGGCTACGTTCACTGAGCGTTCACTCCGCTTAACCCTACATCATGTCTAGATATTCATTGCATCATGACTGTTCGTTATTTGAGCTTCGTCGTCCCAATTGTAACAATCTCCAAATTACTTCGATTATCTTGCTGGAGATGTAAGATAACAAGTTCGAGTGAGCGCGCGAGATAAGGTGATCCGATCGTGAGGCCAGTCGTTCGTACCTGGTCGCGATATTGCACTGGAGCAGTCATGTTGTTTATTTCGCGCAATAAATTAGGCTGAGATGAGAGGGCGAGTGATATCGTAAATTCGAACGAGCGCATAAAAGATGAGTATTCGCGTTGCAATTAATATGCATTGATAGACGCTTGCATTTTCGCGTTGGTCACTTCCTGCCCATTCGCAACATTCTCGCGCCACTTTGAAACGTCTACCAGCTGGTAAACATGGTATCCTCGTGGTGTTACTTCATCTTACCGGTGCTCCTGTTTGTCGCGCTGCTGCGTAAATGTCGCGAGTGCAGCTGGGGAAGATGCAGGAGCACCAGCAATCTGAACGGCCTGGTGTTTCTCGTAACAGGCGCCAACTCCGGTATCGGTAAGGAAACGGTAAAGGAACTGGCGAAACGAAACGCCACGATCATCATGGCTTGCAGGGACATGAGGAACGCTAAGAACGTGATTGCTGAGATACGTAGTAAAATACCTACCGGCGAATTAGTATGTATAGTTACAACACCAATAATAATTGATAAAATAGTAAATTTACTCTGAAGTTTATTTATAAAGAAAAATATAAAAATTATATATATAGCTATATATACATATATATATCAACACACACACACACACATATATATATATATAAATTGTGTAGGTTCCAATGGAATTAGATCTTGCGTCCTTCTTATCAATCAGAGAATTTGCCAACAAAGTACTAAAGGACTTCTCACAGATTCATGTGTTAATTAACAATGCTGGTGTATATGCATCACTCAAAGATCATGCACTGACAAAAGATGGTTTTGAGATTCATTTTGGAGTGAATCATTTGGGCCATTTTCTTCTTACCAATCTGCTACTGGACCGTCTTAAACAAAGTACACCTAGTAGGTGAGCATAACGAAGAATATCATTTAAGAATATATACAATAACATATAATTTATTATAACATTAATTATTAATATTATAACATTTATTATTATACTTTATTATAATTATACTATAATATATATAATTATATTATTAAAATAACAATTTTATATAATATATAATTTATATTATATAATATTTTAATATTACATTAATATATATATATATATATATATATATATATATATATATATATATATATATATATCATATTTTAACAATGTATTATATACATATATTATAAATATACATGTATTATAAAAATATATGTGATATATAATAATAATACTGTATTTCTCTCTCTCACACAGAATAGTAGTACTGACATCCAAGCTTCTGGAATCTGGAGTGATAGACTTTTCTAATCTAAATGGTGAGAAAGGATTGCCAGTAAAGGGTAGGATGAACCCTGGTTATTGCAATTCAAAATTGGCAAATGCTTACTTTGCTGCCGAGCTTGCCAAACGAACAGAAAACTCTGGTGTTAATGTCTATATGGTGTGTCCTGGATTTACCTACACTGGTCTGTTCAGAAATGTGAAAAGGAGTTGGTTTCATTATATTATTTTCTCTCCTTTCGCTCTTATGTTCTTACGTACTGCAAATCAGGTAAATATATCTTATTACTTGACAGAGACACTTCAAAGAATATTATTTATTACTTTTATGTGATCTTTTCACTTATATAGGGTGCTTGATAATTTGCTACAGAATAGTGTAAAGGTGTAATATGGTGAATAGGGTAATATGGTGTAAAGGTAGGTTAAATCAAATTGAACACACAAAAGTCTTCTATCATTTTGAAAACAACCATGTAGAATTTTGAGTTATTAATTGGAAAAGATTGTTGAGTGATTGTATGTTATATGAATTGTGATGACGATGATTGTTGTTGTATGCTTGTAGATTAGATCAAATTGAATAAGTCTTTTACTATTTTATAAATAAAACGTACATTTTTTAGTTATTGATTAAAAAAGATTGGTGAAAGATTGCACGCAATCGTTCGCCGATTTCCTTTAATTATAAGAGATTTTTTGTTTAGTTTCACCTAATCTACCTATATACTGTGATTCTGTAGCAACTTGTCGAACATTCTGTGTATAATGTACTCTATATATATGTATATATATACACTATATCATATATTCAATTTTGTTTTTTGTTACAAATGTATTTGTAGGGTGCCCAAACAGTACTGCATTGTGCAACAGAACCTTCACTGTCCAAAGAAAGTGGGCATTTGTATCGTGACTGTAAACTGTACATCTCCAAGAAGGAATTAGATCCTGAAGTAGCCCTTCGTTTCTGGGACATAAGTACGAAATTGACTGGTATAAAAGATGCGGTGAAATAAACGACGTTATATATATTAAGTATAAGGACGCGTGTTACCGTATACCGTCGTAAGTTCACTTCTGTCGTGTTCCAAAGCAGCCATTCGATACTTATTTTTGTATTTGAAGAGAATAAGATAAAACAACGATGTGGCACACTCTTGTTTCCATTTTTATGTATTTAAAAAAGAAGTCATAGAAAGACTTTGTTTTTTATATGCATATATTTTAGAATAAGGTTTGTGTCTTTGATTTTAATGTATGTGTTATGGACATTTTTATAAATGAATGTAATTATGTGTTATTTGTGAGATTATAAATGAGTAAGAGTGCAGAAAGAATAAGGACCTATAGAAGCCTAAATCGCAATTATTGTTGAACAGAATCTAAGTAAATAATATAGAAGAGCAAATATATAAACGTTCCAGGAAAGTGGAAATGAGCAGCAAACTTTTCGGTCCAATCTGCAGATTCCTTTCAATGACGTGAAACTTAGGCAATACAAATTAAATAAAGACACCCTACAAAAGGCATTATAAAAAAGGAAAAATAAGGAAATCCAATAAAACAAATGAGATAAATGCAAATTGGAAATTATTATTTTTTACAATCATTAGTTCGGTAGTTAGTCAGTTTCATTCTTATATTACGATAATATGATATTTCGTCCAATTTGATTTATTTAATAAATTTATTAAATTGTTTTTGATAAATAACTTTAGTAAGATTTTAATAACTTTAATAAACAAACTTTTAATACTATAAAAACATTTAGTATCTTCTAGATAATTCAAATACAAAAATCTTTGAGACAGTAACGAACCAACAAGGGTATATTTTATCATTGGTATTTGACACTAACTCGATTATTATAGAACATCGAATTGAACGGTATCAGTTACGTCCAGTTAAGTCCACACAATAGCTGTAGTAAGTTTAATCTTTTGTTCAAAAGTAAAAAATGTAACAATTTCTGGCAAAACATGTTTTTTGTACTACCAATTGTAATCCATAATTTTAAGTGTTACTGACAGAGCGGTCTTTTGCTAGAAATTACGTTTGGCCTTACAACAAAAACTTACCACACCTATTGTGAGTCAGGACTAGTACTAAGTTGATGTAATACTCTGCACGATTACCCGGAATGTTGAATAATATCGATCTGATGTGTCATCGTTGTAGTTATCGCAAGTGATACTTTTTAACAATTTAAATTTAGGATATACAAAAATATCGCCAAGTATTGCTAATATTTTACAGAATACCATTGCCACAGGAACCTTAGTACATATACAGATGCAGTCTGACGATGACATATACAGGTATAGTTTGACTATATACATATACACTGCCATATACAAGTATAGTTCGACCATATATATATATATACAAAACTCCCGTGTATGTGTAGATTAAACTGAAGAAAAAGTTCCTTTATTATTTTGCAAACAATGACATACAACTTTTTTAATTAATTAAAAGAGACTGCAAACGATCGTGCGTGATTATTCACCATTTCTCCTTGAATTAATAACTCAAAAATATATGTAGTTATTTGCAAAATAATACTTTTTGTGCAGCTTGGCCTAATTTACAAGCACGCAACGCAAAATATACTTACTGTCACATCTTGTACCGTATTCTGCGCGTATCATTCGCCAATCTTTCTTAATTAATAACTCGGAATCTTACATGAAACTTTTGTTCAGTTTGGCTTCATTTACATTCATGTACACGAGAGTTTATGTATCGTTATAGAAAGATACCCTGTATATATATATTAGAAAATACTCCATCCCAATACTAAGAAGGGCATATCTTAGAATACGGGTCAATGATCGTGTACAAACCGATTAACGAGGAAATTATGCCAAATATACCTACTGTGCCCGAAGTACATTTCACATGACCCAACGCTGTTAATGGAATAAATAAATCGCATCCATTCTTAATGGTGTCCAATACCACTGTCTTGTGTAGTTTCAGACAGAATGGTATATAATTCCATTTAAGTGTATTGCAACTTTGCATTCGTGAGCACACTCGCTCCTGCTCGAAAATCTTAACGATTTCGTAAGTGTCTCTTGCTAAATTCATAATAATGCTCACTAGCCAGTATCTATTTGCAGCTCTGTTCCACTTTGTCAGATTCACTTGCATAATACCCATTCTGCCTATCCAGATCAGATGATCTGCCAGTAGATACATCGCATTTGTTAACTTTGCCATAGTTAATGTTATCCTCACCACCAGCTCGGAATATTTTGTCATTTCCAAAGCTTGATATAAACTGTCCAAACATCTTCCAAAGCGCAGTACTAGAGAAAAAAAATAAAGACAGTATTACACAAACTTGTTAACTAGAAGTGCTTCTACAAGATAGAAAACAAGAAAGAATCACATACATCTTCGGAATGAACTGAAGGTAAATTCCAAACTCTTCAAAATTTCTACCTGTTTTGTACAATGTGTATTTTCTGCATAGTATGAAGAAGCACGACATCCATATTGCAGCAATCTGTAAGATATAGAATAAAAAATCAAAGGTTTTTCATATATAAGCAAAGTTTGGATATACAAAAATAACAAGAGACCAATATTGTATAGTACAATAATATTATAAAAGATATTTATTATAAACATGAAATCTAAAACTTTTAATCTTTATCTACAATTTTTGAGCTTTATATCTTCATAGGCTACTTTATGCTTATGATATTATTGCATTGCATGATCCATGTATTGGCTCCTATTAACTTTTTTTCATAAATTAATTTATAATATTAATTATTATAATTTATAATTTTTATAAATTATAGTTATATAAATTATACATACCGTATTAGTCTGTCCCTCCCTGCAGTTTGATTGTTTAACTTTATCACAATATCCATGATTGTTACCAAAAAGTTTCAAGTCACTTCAACTTACAGTTAAATAAATAGCATCAAATAAAAACGAAGTGAGCTGATAATTCAAATGAATATTATCTGTTATCTTTCAAATTCCAGAAAGCGTTTGAACAATTCAAATCAAACAAATCTAAAACAGGCGCCTTACCGTAATTTCTTTTTACTTTTGCTGTAATTATTTTGCGCATTACTATTATATGCCGGTCAAAGTCGTGTTGGAATGTGTACTTTGGAAAAAAATTATGCAGAGTAATTAGCACTATCAGATTAACCAATGGAAACACAGCAATCGAGCTCTTTAATAAATAGTCATGATGCACGAATACATAGATGTAATGTTCGGTTCAAAAATACCGGATGCGTTATCATGTCGCAATCCATATTTGCAAATGGCGCTTTCCGTTCTCGATCAGCGCCATTTTCAAATCCGATGTTATTTATTTCGTTTCATGTAATTCTACTCGACATATGTACGATACAAAGACTGACTTACACACATAAGAGTATATTTCCTTTTTTAAATACAAAGCTTCATGCTTTAGTAAATATAATATTTTACATTTCATTTTGAACAGAACAATTTACATTAAAACTGACGAAAAATAAAAGTTTTATAGTTGTCGCAAATAATATAATATTGCCAGAATCTTATCAATAGTCGTACATACGTTATATTACGCGAGATTACAGTCATAGTTGACAAAGAAACTTCAATGTTAAATATATTGCTTAAAATGAAAAAACGTAACGCATATCATAATGATATCAGCATACTACTAAAACGCATAGATATTTTATTTTATTAGGAGCGCATAACTTTGGTTACAGCGAATTTGATTGAACGTACTAGCAGAATTTTGCAGATAATCAATAAAATAAAATATTTGTGAGTTTATCCAATCCATGTCAATTGTCGCATTATTTGGTAAAATATATGTTGTACAATCGACAAACACAGTACTTACACTGTTACTTTTTTCTACACAGATAACGTGCAAACGTAACAACACAAGTTCTAAAAGTCAATTAAAAATGACTTTCTTTATATGGCAGCAATATGCATGAAATATGGTACGAATTTATTATAATTGCAATACATCTCGTCTTATTGAAAGGTATTGAAGGGCAATCATTGGCTGTGTTCAGCAGAGAAAGCTGCTTTACAATTGTTATAAAATTCTTGAATCTGATTGAAGTATGCTCTTAATTTTGGTTAAATCCAAGAGCATGTAGCAATCAGATTCACGAATTTTACAACAGTTGCAAAGTAGCTTTCTCTGCTGAACGCAATTATTATGCTGGGGCCTTATTCTCGAAAAATATCGCATATGATATTTCTATGAAAAACTATAATTCATGTTACGTATATTATAGCTTTTTATCGAAATATCGTATACGATATTTTTCAAGAATACGATCCCTGATCTAATGTATCATCAATACGCGTCAAATCAACTCTTCATATGCGTACTAGCACATTCAATCTAATTCGCTACTACTTGTAATTCCTAGAACGAAATTAATACATGAGATGACGTACTTGTAAAATATATCATATAGTGTCGCATGTTATGAATAGATTTACATTGCACGCGGATTAAGACATGTAGACGTAGAACGAAGGATTTCGGTGGTTCGACGGAAGTAAAAAGATATAGAGCTACGATGATTATGACAAATGACGGCGAATTAAACGATTGTATGCATATTTCACGGCCCAACGCGCTCGTCCCTTGTGTCGGAGTCCTGGTGTGAGGAGAATCGCGTTCACTAGAAGAATTTACAAGTGATATTACGATGCAACAATACAATCTATTCAAAAGGATATATGGCATACTGGTCAATATGAGTAAATTTCGAATAATTTAATTACCTATAATATAGAGTAGAAGCAGATTGTTGACTGTGTTGCCGACCCATACGAAGAGAAGAAGGCAGATGATCGTTGCGCAATAGTACTGTGTAAGAAATAAGGAAATTTGTCAGACACAAATGATACAGTTGTCTTGTTTAGTGATCAAAGACGAAAGCACACTTACGCTATTAGGACGATCAAGCCGAATTCTCGCGAGCGATGTCCACATGCTCTCAATCTGTGTCATAGTAGCTGAGAGATTCTGACAGATCTCAATTAGTTTCTTCTCTTTTTGCCCTGTCCAACTCTGTGCATTACACAACAATGATGTCAAAATTGGCACAAGATAATCGACAAGAGCCAATATCAACAGACAAAAGGATATTATCGCCAGCAAAGATGGATCCAGAATCCATATTGAACTGTAATGAGCAGAAACATTACTTTATATGTGTATGTAGATAACAAACTAACTATATAAGCAACAAGTAATGTAAACAACAAGTAATGTATACATGTTGTTTAAAGAATATATAGCTTAAAAATTAGTTTAGAAATTAAGAGAAGCTTATATTTAATCTTTAGAAGTTTGATGTAAATTTACAAAAGTTGTATCTTAAACATGTTGAAGTTTATAGTTTTGAGTATTAAATATAAGTGTAATGTTTAAAAAGATAAATTGCATGAAATTTTTATTTTATTTAGATCGATAGATTGAAAGATTTAACTCTAACTCTAAGGATAAAATGTAGCCAGAAAATTTTGTAGATTTGAACATATTTAGGAAATAACATTCATAAATATATGTCAGAAGATACAAAGGTTAAATAAAAATATAAACCATTCTTAATTAATTCCTGAGCAAGCTGTATATTCTTTTGACGATATCTATTAATTTGTTCATTGTCTACATAGATGACATCTCATACATAGTTTACTTTGCCTACACATAAAGTATTACAATTTACTCATAAACAATTTAAGAAAAATATTTGATTTATAAAAAGTGATCTATTCACCTGAATATCATTGTTATCAGCCCAATGATAAAACCTGGGTGCCAGCTGCGTTCCCACAGCAAGATGGAATACAGAGGTAGTATCACTTCCCGCCAGCATTCCATCCTACGTTTCAGCTGCTTCATGTGTTTCTCCTACGAGGAAAACATCGCGTTTATCAACGGGCAAAATCGAGTCGGACTGTCATCGATTTTCCTATCTCACGCGCACACACAGTGCAGAGATGCGTCGTCTGACGAGGCGATTGTTTCGTGCGCGTCTTTGTCTCTAGTGCTGGGATTCTGCAATTCGTTATTGGAATTAACGACAGTTTCGTATACTGCTTTTGTATACTGTAAAAAAGTTGCGCGATGATAACGAAACTGTCGTTAACTCCAATAACGAGTTACAGAATTCCAGCACAGGTGAATTCGCGCGATCGGAAGTCAATCGCCGCGATAAGCCACCGATTGATGAATAAAGTAAAAGCTCGTGTGTCACCTGTTCTGCTGTCCCATTGTCCGTCATCGTGTCGGATACTTCGCGATGAGCGTTTACGTTCCAAAATTCGCTTCGGCGACGGCCAGGCCGTTCAGATGATGAAAAGCCGGCAGGCGCCGATGATGTGCGCTTCGATTTGGCAACTTGAATCGCAGGGGAAAGGAAAGCACACGTCGACGATGTTTAGCACTGTCTACTCGCGTATCGTCATCTCCCGTAGGTTCGTTCTCGTCGAGGAATGATCGAGTTTCTTCGAATTCACGACGATGCTGTTACGACGAGTCGTGCGCTTTCGAGGTGAAGAGAAAAACGTACAAGCATGGAACGTCAGACAACCATGGATGGAGGGGGTTGTCGGATAGCGGGATAGAGTGGTGGTGGTAGTGATAGTGGTGGTAGTAGTGGTAGTGGTGGTAGCGGCAATGGTGGAGGAATCGACTTCTGGCTCCGAGAGTGCGCTCAGGTACAGTTCTGGCATGCGATTGGCTCGTCAGTTCAAAATGTTGGTTACTGCGGGCAATGCCGTGGTGCCGTTGATGTTGTGGTGACGTTCAGCCGAGTTTTTCGTACCTGTCCATCCTGCGCGTTGGGTTTGCTCAAAAATTCCGGGGGGTAAAAAGAAAAGCGCGTGGCTACGCGCCAAGCACGGCCGAGAGGCATCACGTTCGAAGTTCACGTCGCCCGAATTATGGCTACCGTCGCCGTGAGTTCTGTGAGTATCCGGTATCACGAATAGCATCGACGTGCGGACACGTTTATTTGCGCACATATTCCTGCATCCTTACGTTCGTTCACATACGCATGCACACACGACGGCGACGACGAGATCACCAGCACGTTTCTTTTGTTTACGTTTCACGCCGTTCCGTAACACGCGAGTTCGCGCGCGCCAGGAGGTGTCGCACATCGAGGCGGAGAGACCGCGACGACTGACCGTGGAAAGTGTGACGACGCGTGTTTGGGTTTTTGCAGATTTCGAATGTTGAGAATCTGTCGCCGCAGATCATCCGCCGGGTGGCCAAGGAGATGGCAGAGTTGGCCACCAATCCACCCGAGGGCATCCGCGTCATTCTGAACGAAGCAGACGTCACCGATATTCAAGCTGTCATCGAGGGCCCCTGTAAGGATCGATCGCCTCTCTTCTCTTCTCCCGCGTGCTTCCTTACTCCTCGCGTCTCGCTGCCACGGATCCCACTAATGACGATTGATATCTCGAGATATCAATTTCAGCCCTTATCACAATTATAACACACATGACCTAGCCTAACCTAACCCATATATCTATGTGTGAATATACATGTACACTGTGTACTTGCTCTTGTCAATAATGGTTATGTTGTGACGCGCGCGCACGTGTGTGAGTATATAGTATGTTCCCCAAAACGTCAAGATAATACTTCTCAATCTATTCTGTGCTAAACCAATTTAACAAATTGCCAAATTTTAGGTTGTGGCTTTTTTTCAAAAGATATATAGTTTTGATTTTAGATGTTAAAATATATAATATAAAATTAATATAGTTTAAATGATATTTCTTTGGATAATAGCGGGAACTCCATACACTGGTGGCTTCTTTAGAGTTAAATTGGCCCTTGGAAAGGACTTTCCACAAGGACCACCCAAAGCTTACTTCCTCACAAAGATTTTCCACCCAAATGTAGCGAAAAATGGCGAAATTTGCGTTAATACTTTGAAAAAGGATTGGAAGCCAGATCTTGGAATACAACATATATTATTGGTAAATAGTTACAAGCAGGATTGGGCATTAGCATGTAAATTATGATACTTTAAGTCTACACATGTAGACAATATATGAACAATCTGTGTATATATAATCTTAAAATCTCTGGCACAATTCTGGCTACATGTGTATGATATATTGCAAATTCTTACATTTCATAACTTTTGTTTGTAGACTGTAAAATGTCTACTAATAGTGCCAAATCCAGAATCTGCTTTAAACGAGGAGGCTGGTAAATTACTTTTAGAGAGCCATGATGAATACGCGGAGCGAGCGAAAATGATGACAGAGATACATGCACAGGTAACACTTGTTTCGATAATTTATAAAGTTATATATTTACGTGGAATTACATGGTTAATGAACCTGGCTTCAAAACCATTGAAATAACAACAACGTGGAATTATACTTCTTTTTTAGGGAGGTGGCAAAGGCAGCAAAGCTGGTCTGGAGAGTTGCGCTTCCTCGGAAGCCGGAGGACCTCTTCCAAAGAAACATGCGGGTGATAAGAAATTAACTGCAGAAAAGAAGAAAATGTTAAAAGATAAGAAGAGAACGCTGAAAAGACTATAAGGAAGATCGATATTATATTATATTCATGTCTTTTGTAATTTAAAACACTGGTGTGGTAATGTTGCCTCGTGTTGTACACACAATTATTGCATAGTAAAATTTTATTATCTAAACTTGACTGATCTTATTACTAAGTATTTAGAGAATTTAATATTTCTAGCTAGTAAAAATAAAAAAAAAGGAAAGAAGAAAAAGCTCGATCTCCTACATTGTATGAAAAATGAGTACAATTCTGTAGTGATCTCTACAATCGCCGGCTGAATTGGCAGACACTCGGCCTTCTGTACGCTATATCTACTAGCAAATATTTTTACATATGTACAAAATGATATGATTATTTAAGTAAAATAAAAAAAACTTCTGCGCAGAATGTTTCATGTGTGAAGTCTATTCATTAATAATTTTATAAACAGTTACATTATCCGTTAGTTCATTTTCTGCATACTTTTGTTATCGAATGTGTCTGGAAACGGGATATTTTGAGGGAGGAATTGCTTTCCATATTTGTTAAGAACTTTTTAGGTAGATAATAAAAACTTTACCTTCTGTTAAGAATTTTTCTTTTTATTTAGAGAATTTGTTGTCAGCTTTTTTCTTCAGTCTTGCGCCACTTCATTGCAATTCGTACGCTGCATGAATTAAAAATTTATACATTTCTTTACACACATCTAGCGCATTACTGCGCGTTAAAGTATGCCATGTGCATCTGACTAATAGTATGTCACAGCCTTAAATCCGCTATAAGCTATGAGATACGCATAATAATATAATTTACGCGCTAAAAGAAAACAAACACAAGTTACAAAAGTATCTTTGCATTATTATTACTCGTACTTCTAGTACCAACTGCCGCCGCTGTTAATAGTAAACTACTCTAAAGACAAATTGGACATGATAAATCAATTTTTGATATTCAATACAGCACTGAGAAAATAAAATTAGATTAAGGGCTTAGAAGCACATTCTGTACTTTGATAAACAACAACTTTTCTAGATGAATCTCACTGTATTTTTCATCTTGATGAGCACACACGCACGATAAAGTACATACAAATCCATACAGTCTTTACATTATACGTTTGTTTTTAATCCTTCTTATTTTCATATCATAAAAAAATCTATGAATGTCTACTATAATGTTTATGAATTTTTTCTCGTAAAATTCAGTTGTTATTATGCGCAAATTTCCGGAGGACTCGTCAAAAATAAAAATTGATTTGATTAAATGAGAAACTCTTTTTATATCTCATTAAATTTCCTTTTTTAGTATATAGACAATATTATATTTATACTACATAAATTTATGAAAATAAAGCCAACACAGTGTATTGTGTTAAGTCAAATGAGAACAAAATCTTAATTAAGAGCGAAGGTTGTTTTGTGATGTTGTTACTTTACTTCCTTCACGTAAGCTTCCAGTTCTGCATCCAACTCTTCGGCAGTGGGCGTTTTTGTTATTTGCCGAGCGCCCCCTCGACCTCCTCGTCGACCACTACCACGACCTACAATTTCATAAAGTTACAATTCATAAAAAAGAAAAAAAATATTAATTATTCATATTTACATTTAGTTATCGCAATTTCCTTGAATTTGTTATTTTATATGTAAACGAATTACTGAAACACAGTAAATTTATTCACATATATACTATTAAGATATGTTTTATAATATATATGTATCATATATTAAACTTCTTATTAATTTCAGCATTTTATTTTATAAAACAGATTTCTACAAAATAATGCATAATTTTTGTAATATGGAAATATCTGGTATTTTACAAGAATTTATGTATTTAAAATATGTATTGAATAAGTTATAGCTGATTGTAATAATTACCTCTAATAGACCCTGCACCACGATTTCCTCTAAAACGAGTCTGAGGTCTCTGTGTGTAATTAGCACCGCTAAGTCTCGGGCCACTACGAGGGGAAGTGATTGGTAATTCACTTGTAGCAACTTGTATATTCATTTCACGACCTGCCAATGTATATCACATATTAGAATTAACAGATATACATAACATTTGTGATAATCATACTACATAACAATTTCTGCAAATCCTACTTTTTCTTAAATGCTGTAATTTCATGTGTATCTATATGTATTCAACATAGACAAAACTTCATAAGATATGTGAAGAAATATGATGCAAAAATTTAAGTACATACCATCTAGAGGTACTCCATGATATTGTTTCATTGCTTTGATAGCATCTGCCCGTCTTTCAAATATGACATCTGCTGAGCCTAAAGATCGACCTGACCTATCATAATGTACTGCTGCTGACTTTAAAGGTCCAAATTCACTGAATAGTTCCTAAAAGACATTGTTAACAAATATATTTAATATATAAAATGTAACATTCTAGATGTGTTTAATATATAAAATATATATTTTTGCACATAATATTTTAATACCTGTATGTCTGAGTCTGATACACCAAAATCAAGGTTTGATACCAAAAGTTTGGTAGTTCCTGCATTTCCTATTGCACCACGACCAACTTTCTTTACACCATCAAACATATCGTGTTTCCAAGCACTGTTTACATCACCCTGCACAATGAAATATAAGTTTTTGAAAGTTATTATATTTTCTTAATAAGTAACAAATTTTTCTTATCATGTATATATAAAACTGATTATAAAAATATCTAATATTGGAACACATATATTGGAACACATATATACAGCAAAAATGGCGCTAAAATAAGCAATTAAGTTTTGTCATTGCATATTGGTAATATATTAATATAATTTGAACATTATAAGCAAAATAGTCATAAGAACTAAACTGTCTTGTTTTATTGTATTAACTTTAATTTTTTAATTACATTATATTAAATTTTGCATTAAAAATAAAAAGATAGATGTGAACAGGAGAGGAAAAAGAACTACAAGAAAATATACAGAAGTATATAGATATATATTTAATAAACTACTCTTAAGAAAAATTAACAATTTCTCAAACCACAGTGAAGATTTTTATCCCAATTGTAAATCTTCTATTAAAATATCCACTTATTAGAACAAATATATTCAGGTTCTGGGGAAAACAGGTGAGAAAACTTAGATAATATAATTAGAATCAATATACATTTATACAAAATATTGTGTGAATGCACACTTAAGATACCTTCTCTTATAGAAATTACACACGCAAACGCAACATGCATGTACGTTAGGCTCGCGTACACCAAAATGTCCAACGTTCTTATGTGTGTACGCACATATGCATATCACAGAGTGCGCGCATACACATACTACTTAATAATAGTGCGCGTCGAAATGGGGCAGACAATTCCAAGATACATAGTGATATCCTTACCCTCGTATACGGTAGAGAGGCGCGTGTAATACCGCCACGACTACGTCCTCGCATTACACCCCCGCCAGTTCTTTGGGTCCTACGCGCTCCTCGACGAGGCGAACTGCCGGCGCCTCTACCGCGTCTGAGGTCTCTGCCGCCGCCCCGTAGACGAGCACCTTTGGTCTGCTTGATAATGTCGTCCAGACTCATCTCTATTTTGTCTACCATCTTCATTTGTGCGGCTCGGAACAAAACTTGTAATTATCCACACGCGTAGATAAAACCGCGATGAGGTAAACCAACCTCACACACGACTTTACGTCGAAACAGAATGGCGACGAACGAGAACAAGAAACAGCAACGCAGAGCAGTCTGGGTATCCAACGGAAGAGTGCGTTGTAATGGCGGACTCACATTGCGCGCAAGATGTGATGTGTGACATTTCCGTGAGAAAATACATCCAATAAGAGAGTTCGCTTTGTGTGGCTTATAAGCATAGGCTGTGGCATAGGGTTTTTTGTTCCCAGAAAGAATCTTCTGGACGTTCCAAAACTCTACTCGACGGGTAGAGTAGCATTTAATTGACCAATAGAAACAAAGATAACTAGGATTTTTTTATCATGATTAGTCAATTAAATGTACTTTACCCACTGAATAGAATTTTGGAACACAGCCCTGTTCTATGGTATAAAAAAGCTGCGCAACGACGTCTACCGATCCGACAATTGTCGATAAGTGGTTACAGAATAGGGTCCCTGGACGTTAGGGAGTCGATTAGCAATCATCGATTATCGTTTTCCAGCAAGGGACACTTTTTGCACAAAGCTTCTTTATTGGTTACTTATTATCTTAGAAAATATCTTAGATAATTTGTAGACAATAGGCCTGTTCTTTGTAGCTGCACTACTGAACTAGTGCAATAAGTTAGAGTGAGAAAACGTATATTTGTTTCACTTCAATATATTGCACCAGTTCAGCAGTGCAACTACAAAGAACAGGCCTAATAAAATAGCTTTGTGTAACACAGTATTTATTGCTGGAAAACGGCTTATATATTAACACAATGTAACGAAAATTACAAAAGTGGATAAATTTACAAGGTATCGACCAATGAAATATTGAATATTTTGGTAAATTCATTCATTTTTATAATTTTCATAAAGTTTCTGTGGTACAGAGTATTTCCATCCAGCAAGCAATCTAGCACGAAACAAGCATCATGTGCCGCTGGCTTAACCGTTGCACTTATAACTTATAGCATGTTCGGCTTTCTTTCTTAATCCCCTTTGAGTTATTCAGCCTACGTTTATTGGTCGAACAAGTACTTATAAGCTTTATGATTGGCTAGTAGAGATTAAAGGGCGCCTCACACGATTGACATAACAGTAACGTAAGACGTATCGTAAAAATGGATCAATTACAATCGAGTATTCACAAAAATGATGACCTTACGATTCAACGATACTCAAAGTGATTGGTCAATTCTTACGGTACGCTTACGTTACTGTTATGTCAATCGTGTGCGGCGCCCCTTATGACGTCATTAATCGCTCTCGGAGCGTTGAAAGAAGAGATTTCATTGGATTTTGCTCATCATCTCTAGTGTACATTAAGTACAAAAATATCATGGCTTTCGCAGACCAGCGCGATTTGCGACGCGACACGCGATATGCGATCGCGATATCCAATGAGCGTACAGCGCTTCCGGAATACCAATACGCTCATTGGATATCGCTCGTCGCATATCGTGTGTCGCGTCGCGCATCGCACTGGCTGCGAGAGCCATCAGAGATACAAGCAACGCGAACAAACCTCTTGATGGTAGTACAGGTGTTATTGGAAATTGTTACGAATAGCTCTATTTGCTTACTGTGTTGGTTTTTATATATGATACACACGTAGATGTATAAGAACAGAATACGAACAGTAGATGCGTTACACGTGTCGCATGTGTGATTGGGTAGATTACATATATATAGATGTGATAAGTTTGTAGATATTCTATAGAAGTGTTGCCGCGCACCTTAAATTATATGTTATAATAACAAGGTAAGATAACTTTTTAAAACTGTAAAATAACTGTATAATACATGTATGAAAATTGTAAAAAACATTTTTTCTCTTCTCTCTCGTGTGAGAAAAGTTTTATCTAATTTAAAAATTTTCTTCCTTCCCTTGCAGATGAGAGTATTTCTACTTATTGGTTTATTTTTTTTAAAAGATTTTGTGGAATCTAACGAAATTAATCTAGCCCATTTAAAATGTTTAGGTATGTGAATATGAATGATAATAGATGGTAATTTTTAACACTTAGATTACATTAGATTACAAGCTAATTTTTAATAAATAATAAAATAATTGCATAAAAATATAATTATTGCATACATTTCATAGTTTGTAGAGCAACTATGAACGAAATGGAAGCTGCAGTATCTAAAATAAATCCAAAAATATTAGTTGAAGCAGGTAATTACAAAATGGATTCTCAGGGAAATACTATATCCAAAAAGGTATAAAAGTATATTTAATAAAATAAATTTTACTATTATTAAATTTATTAAAAATTGTTTGTGTGTGTGTGTGTGTATATATATATATATATATATATATATATATATTTCCATATATAAGTATATCATATAACATATGAAATGTTTTTTATAGGTTCCATTGAGACAATCAGAAACACATATTTCGGATATATTGGATGATATCTGCCTGAAGATGAATGATTATGTGAGAGCAACTAAGAAGTACAATAAAAAGTTAACAATTTTCAATCTTATGTCACCATCAGGTGGTATGAATCCTCAAATGTCCAAAGTTGACATAATTCATGATGGTGATTTAAATAAGTCTCTTGAATTTTATGTAAGTATTATTTATTATATTTTGTATATATTTAATTTGCTATTATTAATTTGTTTTAATATTTACAGTGCCATTTGATAGTGGAACAATTTGAAGATGATATTATAAAATTATATGTCAATGATTCGGGAAATAGAAAAGAACAGCTTTGCACAGAGATCTCAAATATTTGTAATGATTATCCTGAAAATGATGACAACGATGATGATAATAATATTAACAGTATGTTTAATTATAAAAATGAATTATAAGACCATTTAAGACGATTTTTTAATACATAAATATTATTCATTTTGATTAGTAAATTGAAGACAATGAGTCTCAAATATGTTAAATAACTAATTATATAATTTTTTTTATGAGACAAAAAATATATATAATCTGTTTGATATATAAAGCATTCTAAGCATTTCAGTTTTTCAATTCTATATAGTGTGTGTATATATATATATATATTATTTCTTCCAATATTAAATATTTTATAAGACAAATATAATGTAAAGAGGTTATACATAAGAATAGATGTAATGTAATATTAGAAAATATAATTATGTTAATGTAAAAAATTTTATTGTCTTAAAAGTTTTTAATATACGAAGTTATGCATTCAAGGTAGTACTGTAACATTCAGGTATTAATGACAATTTTATTAATATAGTTTTTACGTGTATTAATATAGTTTTACTATACATTATCGATTTGTAACATCCGAGATTGTTGAGCTATTTAAGATTTTTCGATAACTGTTGGTTTCGAATAATATTTAAAACATTTTTAATTGATACGATCGGAAATTTTGCTTAAAAGTTTTGAAAACGAAAATTTGGGATAAATATAAGTTTATTATTGACGCAAGATTTCAAAGATTTCACTTTCCTGCTACGAAACAATTTCATATCGTGTTTGTAAACTGTTGGTCGATGTCGGACATAAATATTCTCAATGTGTTGTCCGCACCACCAGATGCTATCAGTTTAGAGTTCAACCAGTCACAACACAGAACTTTATCTTCGTGTCCTGTGAGATCGAACAACGGCGTCTTGGGACTGAAAAGTAAATCGTAAATATAATGTAAATATGCTACTATAAATACATAACAATATACATGATATAAATATATTGTTATGATGTAAATATGTAATCTCGGAAATGAAAGTGAAAATGAAATATCTATCATATGTTGGAAGAATAAGAAAAACTATTTGTGAAAATTTTACAGATATTAATAAAATGTATGCATGCACTTCTTACACACACAAAAATACACCTTTTATGAAATCAGATATTAATTAACATTAATGTGAGAATATAAAACGTATAAGTGGCTCTTTCATGTTTTTAGTATAGTTTGAGAATTAATAATCAATGGTGCAATATAATTAACCTTCTGGTATCCCAAAGCTTGACAATGTCATCATAGGCTCCCGAGATAAAGAGGTATTCAATCACAGTCGACCAGCGCACGCATTGTACCCATTGTGTATGAGAAGTGTACATGGTTTTCATAACTGCATTTTCTGAAACATACAATCTGCCTGTTATTTAAATAAATTTGAATTTTTATTAAATATTTCGAGATACTCGTTAAATCTTAATCTCACGAGAAATAGCTCAATTTCATTGAAATAAATGAATCGAAAGTCAGGAGAATTAAAAGACCAAAGTTATGTAAATTTTCTGCTATTTTTTTTAATATATGAGAAATCAAGAGAAAATTCAATAATATAAAAATATAATATTAAAAAAATATATATATTAAATATAATATTAAAAGAAAAATTTAAAATGTCGTGGAAGTCTTTTCAGTACCTGAAGATCTTGGATCGTATAGTCTCACATGTCTATCCGCGGACGCAGTTATCAGAGCGTGCGCTAACGAGGAATAGTCCACGTCAAAATAGCTTTTCTCGCCGACAAACTCACGCTTAATGCTGCCCAATTCAGAATCCCACATTTTCACAGTGTGGTCCCAAGATGATGTGACGATTTCAGTTTTGTCGCACCACTTAACTCCGCTAATTGCATCTTTGTGTCCTTTCATCGTACACATCGAAACCTGCGTTGAAAGTAGTTACGTATTGATCTATTATTCTCATATAATTACTAGTATAATTACTTTTACGAGTATAAATAATTACTTTTTGCAATACATAGTATAAAATGTCCATCGAATATAAAAAATATAATATACAACAATAACACAACATATTTTCAACGATTTTTATTGTTTAGTGACAAACATTGAAACTAGAGATACCGACTAACAGGTAAACAAAAGTTACTTCAGAGTAACAATGCTAAATAAATACATACTGCATCTATTATTTTTGTACATAGCTCATGAGAAATCGATATTGCTTAAGAGACACTATCGTATAGAAATTTTTGAAGTTATCTATATTTTGGTGAAATAGTTGTAAAATATTTTTTGTGTCCATACATACTACATAAATATCGGCTTCAATTCGGTCTATGTACCTGTGTTTTACCATGCTCCATTTTTGCTCTTTTTGGCATGGACTCCCCATCTTCCAGTTCATCTTGAATAGCTTATAAATTAAAAAAGAAAATCTTATTGTTGCATTTACATTTGTATTGTTTTTTTGTAATTAACCCTTTATTTGGCAGACTTAAAAAAACTGTAAGAAAAAATTAAGTGTTTAATAATTATTAAGTTAATATGTCCTGAATGCAACTATATTGTTTTTAATATCATTTTGAAAACGTATTTTCAACGATTTTTGTTATCTAGTAGTAAAAATTGAAACTAGAGATATCGAGGTAACAGGTAACCAAAAGTTGCTTCAGAGCAACAGTATTAAATAAATGCATCCTGTATCTGTTATTCTTATATAGCTCATGAAAAATCAATGTTGTTTGAGAGTAACATTACCAAATGAAGGGTTAAAGAGTTCTATGTTAACAATTTTATTGTTTTATGAATCTAGATATTCACATGTCAACCAGATTTTAAGTGTTGTATCTGAGCTACCAGTAGCCATTAACATAGTATCATGGTTCACACTAACTGTCTCCACACTCTTTTCATGTCCTTTGTAAATGTGCAATCGTTCCACTGAATTTTTCGCTATATCCCATTTCCATGTTATAGCTGTTTGGTCTTGCGATGCACTGTTATAAAATATGTATGCAAAAATAATCCTTAGCTGTTTCTGATTAATTATATAGTATGCTAAATATGTTTATGCTAAATATGTCAAGATTAAAATTGATTTTACAAAATGATATATTGAATGACAGATCATATACCATAGAACTGTTGGAACAATCTTTTATAAGATGTTTAACACTTAAAAAGTAACATAGCTATTTACTGCTTTCTTAAATTCTTTTATAAAATAAAATATACTATTATGCACAAGAAAAAAATAGACTTTTTAAATATTATATAAATTTGACTGTTTAAGTATAAGCTCATGGATACCATTGATACATTTAACAGTATACCAATGGTATACATAGCAAAAACATGTTAACAATAATGGCTGTTATTTCTGGAAATACCTGACAAAGGAAACATTATCATCATTAACAGATATCCATGCCACTGCTTTGATAGGGGATGCATGTCCAGGAATCACAAGACGATGCTTACCAGTTGATGTCCAAATGTGCAAAGTATTGTCATAACAGCCAGTTAAAATCCTGAATTGAATAATTTGTGGTGTTATATATTTCAATTAACACAAATATATGCACAACTGGATAAAGATAAAGTTGAACTTCATTACTCATCGATTATTATATTTATAAAGTTGTTGAAAATTAATTCAAAGTAGTTATACAAAATTTGAATGAAAATTTATTTAGATAATAACCAATATGTATATAATATTGTATATAACTTTAGAAAATTAAACTTTGTCTTTTGAATTTTTATAATCACAATCAGTACTAACCATTTATCACAAACAGCAACAGTTGACACCCAGTCATCATGTATCAGGCAATCCTGAGGTTCTGGTGAGACATACTTTTTCAAATATTCCACATCTATTACTTCTTCAGTGGAAACTTGTGTTTCTGCGATGTACTCCCTCAGAGAGGTGTGCAGAAGCTGAGAAGATATCAAGAAATCAAAGTTCACTGCATTCTGGATATTCTTCGACTCTGTGAATCAACCGTTTCGTCTATGAGAAAATCAAAATGATGATCATCTAAAATGTTTTGCAACTCGAATCAGACTTATGATTTGTGAATCTAAGCAACAAAAGTGCTGATTTAGAGAAAAATACGAGGATAATTCGAAATGTTTGCTTACCCTTCAGAAATTTGTTAACAATAGTGTTCAATTCACTAACGTCTATTGACGCGTTCACGAATATGGGATAATCAGGCACGGCATATCTATGAAATGAAAATATAACCTCCATGAAACAAATATAACAGCAAAAGGAAAAGAAAAGGCTAAAATCTTACCGTTGCTGCTTAGTGATGAGACGAATTTGTATTTGACTATTCACATTCGCCATCGTAAAATTGATTTATTTATGCACAATTTCTACGTCTGTCATCGTACTTACTCGTTGCTGATATACGCACGATCGCGACATGTCATAACTATAGTATAATAAAAATTCACAGCTGTTCATATGATGTAGAAATCTTTCTCAAATCAGAATTTCAAGATTCATCTTGAAAAAAATATAAACTTTCTTTCAGTTTAGAGTTCAATACAGAATTTTATAAATTGCTTACACGCGGAAATTAACCAATCAACAGAGATCTAAAGTTACCCGATACTAATGAGATTTTACCCGATAATGAGATTTCTACTCTGATACTGAAGGGCCAATAATTTTATTGGACAAAATTACCGAATCTAATTCTTTAACCTAATTAGGCAATGAAAAAAAGTATGTGTGAAAATCTTAAAGCTAGATTTTATATCACATGTAACTCAATAATTGTGCACTGAAATGGATTATATATATACACAATTTATTTCTTTATTTATAATTATAAAAAATATATAAACTATATAAAAAACAATCTTTCATCTTATTCATTTGCACATTAATGCATTGATTGCCCTACTGATTTTTATGAATTCTGCAGCTTAAATTAATTTAGATTTTATAACTAAAGTTAAGACTTAACTGAAGAAGCTCTTAACTAAAGTTAATAATAGTATATCTTTCAAAGTTGGCTTACATACTAAGGCAATCTCAAAATTATTGACAACTATAAAGCTGAAAATCTATAGTATATGTAACATGAACAATAGATTTTCAATGCTAACAGTGAATTGGAACATAGCATAAGTAGATCTTGGGTTAACTTATTTAGACAACAAGACAGAGTATATAATTATAATAAGTATATACATTTCTTGATACGCGCGCATTAGTTTTTATCGACCTTTTGTCAAGAGTTTAACATTACTGATCACGATTCCACCTCCAAATGGTCGCATCATCGCATACGCACAATAACACTGAGCCATCCCGACTCAAGCTGGTTTGGCGGATGGGTGCAGTGCAACGCGGATGCTGAAGGGAGAAGCAGCGCGCCTGTCCGGGTTCATCCACGTCCAGGTCCCAAACATAAGTACGACCGACCTGATTCCCCAAGGCGATTGTTCGCTGCCAAAAATCCATGGAGAAACGTATGAACCAAATGTCGCATTCCTTGAATTCGAAACGATGCAGCATAGTCGCGCTGGTCTCGCCATTACGCAGCTGCGAGTCTTCGAGTCTGCCGGGTTTCCAGCAAACAATACAGTTTTCGCAGGACTTGCTCAGGATGAAATCGCCGTACCATTTGACGCAATCAACGTAATTGCGGTGAACGTCGCGCGTAGTAAAGTCTGGAAAGTGTTGGAGAATCGAGTCGAATGGTCTACCATTGCGACTGGGATTGCAGTAATATGACTGCTTGATCGCCTCTTGCATGTCTGTTTTGTCCAATGACCAAAGTTTCAACGCGTGATCCATACCGCACGAGATGATTCGCATGCCTCGCATGTCGAAGTCGGCGCTCAACACCTCGTCCCGGTGACCCTCCACGCCACCGAAAATTGCGATGCATACGTCCGTTTTAATGTTCCACAGTCGTAGGGCGTGATCCTTGGATGCGGATAACAATATGTTCGGGTCGCACGGGTGAATCTTCAGTTCGTTGATTGCATGGCCGTGACCGATGTAGTGCTTGATGCAGGTCATCGTCACAGGGCTGATGATACGAATAACGCCGCGGGAGCCCGCTACGGCCAGCAGTGGCTTGCCCATGTCGTCATACGTCCATGTGCACGTGTAGAAGTTTTCTTCCGCGTCAGGATCGGAGTAGCATTGTCGCAGTCGTATGTTTCCGCCTTCTGGGCATTCGTAAATACTCACGCGGTTACTGCCCACGCAAGCGAATATCAGTGGCTCGCCTTCCTTCAAGTGATGATTAAATTGCACCCCGAACAATGGTTGCCCGTGATCCTCTTTCACGTTGCAACAATACTTGTACAATGGCTTGTCCGTGGAGGGCTTGTACTTGGTTGTAGTTTTGCTCCTGCGACGGCCCTTTCGTCGGTAACGAGCACTACGAGTGGGGGTGTCGCTGCGATGAGTGCCAGCGGTAGAATTGCTGCCAATGCTGCATTCCGTCTGGTCACTGTCGTTCTCGCTGTCCTCCTGGCTGGATGCGTATGCTTGGGATTTGTTGTTCGTCTTCTTCATCTTGATGGTGCTTTTCATATGAATATATTTTTACTATGATATTATTATACAGAAAAAAGATTTAAATTTGTTTCAAAGCTCTTCTGGTCCCCCACCGCGGCTATCTTGATTTACATGCACAGATCATTTTACAAGTTTGCTTGATTAATTGCAAGTGTCATCTTATACATTTTTTTCCAACGTATTTTGCAAAAATTTTTAACGTATATCTTCTCGCTTTTGACGTCATCAATCGAGAGTTCCGCAGCGAGGAACCATATACTGCAAGAATCATGTATGCTTCAAATATTTTAAATATCTATAAATCGTATGTAATTTCTCACTTTAATAAATAAATAATTTTTCTCAATGGAAAAAAGAAAATTTTGTCAAATGTACCATAATCTATTGGATATTCTTCATATCTTACTATATCTTAGGTATGTTGTGCCAGTGTTCCAATAACTGGTATACCGTTACTTAATCCCAATAGGCCTTCAGTTACATTCAAAATTCTGTCCCCTAAGCAAATACATGATTGTATGTTCTGAAATAAAGCAATGCACATATATGTTTAAATATATCAGCTCTATATATATATACATATATATAGCCTAAAAATAATTAACATGGTTTTCAATATGGAAACTTACAGAAATATTTGCAGACAGAAAACGAATATTATACTTGCGACAGAGTTCTTTTGATTTATGGATTAGTCCCACAATATTAGATATTCCATTACAATTTACTAGGCAAGTTGCACCAGAAATTATATAATATTCATCTATTATTGCTATGTTAGCCTCTATCTGAAAATAATCATCAATAGTTATAATAGAAATAATAGGTTAAAGAATTTTTTTTGTTTCAATACCAGATTATATTAAATATTGTTCACATAAAATAAAAATATTTCTCACTTCTGATAAAGTATGTGCAACCCTAGAATCAAAAGCAAAAATTATAAAGTCCACAGAGATATCTATTCTTGCTTTTATAACATCAGCAATGGATTCGCACTGATGTACAGATATATTCCATTTCTTTTCTTTTGCACTCTGATATAAACCGTTTGATATCTTTTGACATAAATTTGTTGATCCTACTACCTAAAAATATATATAATGAGAGAGACAATATACTTTTATATCATGAATATAGCTACAAATATAGCTATATATGTTCGTTAAATTCTGTCAATGTATTGATTATATTATTTGCATTCTTCTATATACAAATTTGATTTTTGTATGAAAAGAAAAATATATGCAGGATATAATTAAGTATATAATTTTGATATATAATCAATATAAATTTGTATGATCCTCTGAATGACTTACTACATATTATATACAAGTTAAAACTTAATTTTGTAGCAAATTCAGTTGCATACTGATGCGCAAAAAAAGTTACTGAACATAAGATATAATATAAACACTTTATTTATAAGTACAATGTAAAATAATTAATAAAATATGTCAGGTATTTGATTAATCAAAACTTATTTATTGCTTTTTTTAACTTTATACGCAACATCTTTTATTATGCAGTTAATAAAAATAATAACGAAAAGCAGATGTATGTATGTGTATATGCCTTTTTATTAATTATATTCTCCAAAAATAGATCTAATAAAAATTTTTTTAAGAAACACTTTCATAGACAAAAAACGATAGTATGTAAACAAATCTGTATGAGCAGACTATATATTAAAAGAAGCAACTTTTGCTCTTTTTGGAAAACACGCCGAAAACATCAGAATACGAAGAACATTTTTTATTGCCGCAAACACACCATAAAAGCAACCAAACAATCGCTTCTCCGCACTGTGCCGCTCTTGAAGATCCCAGCCATGCCAACTATGACTGCTAATATGCACTTGAATATTTCAGACAAAACGCGGCAACACCTTGTGCACTAACGGCTTTTGCACACAGGGGTGCGTTCGAAAACATCACCCGTGTGTATTTTGTCACACTCAGATCGTTCGAAAACCCCTAGTGGGCACACTGACCATGCGACCATGGCCGTTCGAAAACCGTACTCCGTGGACCACTTGTGTGACTTTTCTCCACTCTCTTTTGCGCGGTGTGAATCGGTGGAGATGGTGGAGAGTGCGCAAAGAGTGCAATACAGTATAAAATTACTAAATTATTTATGGTTTTTTGTTCTTCGAAACATTCGTACAACCATTAGCCATCACGGTAAGATAAAAAATTTAAATACAGCAGTGTAGGTTAACCAGGTTTAGGTTTATTTCTATAGTGATGTATATTGTCAGAATATTGTCTTTAAATATAAATAAAGCTTATTAAGCTTTTTGTATTTTATAGGTTCTGAAATTTTCTTACGAGATACGAGGCACGTTAAAAGTCACGAATCAGTAACAATTTGTGAAAAAAAATGGAAAATTTCATCCCGGGTCGTCATATTTTATGCATGGATATTTAAAAAAATATACAAAAGGATGACAAGGGAAATGTCTATATATACGATGTTAAAGGTAAGGAGTAATAAATAAGTTTATAAATTTCCTTAGGCCTGGTGCCCACGATGCTAGAAATCGATCCGAGTTCTCGGACCAAGGAATATATAATCAATTAACTTTCCAGATAACTAAATTATAAATTAATAATTACTAAATTAATTAATTAATTAATTACTAAATTTATTAATTTATTATTATTTTGCTGAGAAGCAATTATAGCTAATGTCGAAATACGCTTTCGATCATTTTGTACAACATATGTAGGCACAACACACATGTATGTCACATTGAGCATTCTTCCATGGCTGTTCGAAAACTCCTCTCGATACCAACTCCACTAACCCCACCAAGCCCATCCACCACAGCCACTTTCCGTCGTGGACTTTCAGTGTTTTCGAACGCACCCCAGGTTGTGTTCCAAAATACACTGCTAGTACTGAAAATCTGTAGTTTGTGTTACGTATACTGTAGAATGTTATAAAGTATTGGCCTTGGCTCCGAGAGCGATTATTGACGTCATAAGTCTCTACTAGCCAATCATAAAGCTTATAAGATACTTGTTGGACTAATAAACGTAAGCTGAATAACCTAGAATATATTAACTTAGAGCCAGTCGAACATGCTATTAGTATTGGCAGTGAATTTCAGACTTCAGACTTCAATTATTGGCTGAGCACACCTTGACTTAAGTGGCCCTACGCCATTGCACAGCTAGATGCTTCCATCGTATATAATCTGGACAACCATAGGCCTGTTCTTTGTAGTTGCACTGCTGAACTGGTGCAATATATTGAAGTGAAACAAATATACGTTTTCTCACTCTAACTTATTGCACTAGTTCAGTAGTGCAGCTACAAAGAACAGGCCTCATATTGCGTTCAGATAGAATAACTCACACTCCTAGTGAATTTAATAATGTAATTAAACAACTTAAAGTTGCTTGCATTAAAAGCAAGAGAATGAAGGTTATCACTCTGCGAGAAACCACAATTATATAATTGCGTGATAAGAAGACCGCTTTCTTCCGAGTGTAATGGGCATACGAACAGAATATGATGCAGGGAATTAAGCTCTGCTCCACATGCGCAACTCGGGTCTGTAACTAAATTTTTCTCCAGGAGATGTGGACTAGATCTTACGTGGTGCGATCTCAGTCTCGCCATCAACGATATTACGTCCCTCTTGACAAACTTAAGGGTGCAGAACCAAGGCCTGACGGCCAGATTGGTAATTTCTTTCCTGTATCTAGTACCTTTAGATTCAAATTGTATCTCCAAAAGGTCGTGAGCCAACTTCGTGAACTCTGCCCTGAGAGTAGAAATAACATCACCAAAGAAGATTCCCTTCCTGATTTTAATAGAAGAATTTTCCGCGGCTAGTTTGGCAAGTCTATCAGCCTCTTCGTTTCCGCGTATACCGCAGTGGGCAGGGACCCATATCAGGGACATCCTGATGTCTGTGTCCTTAGCCTTGCCAATCTTATCAATAATTTTTAAAAAGAGCGGATTGAGTCTCCTTTTCGATGAGACGTTGAGCAAGCCAATAAGCGTACTTTTGGAACCCGTGCAAATGATGATATTTCTTTTGTCTGAGGATAACACGCAATCAACGGCTTTAATAATAGCCGAGGCCTCAACATTTAGAATAGAACCTGAAAAGGAATACGGGATCGCTGCAGATAGACCAAGGTCTTCGGAGAAAATTCCAAAGCCTGCCGCCCCGCCAGAAGACAGGGAACCATTCGTGAAGATGATACAATCCGGATTTCTCTTTGACAGTATAGAACTTGCCCTCCTGTTCATACCTTCAATCGAGATTTTTTTAGAGCCCTTATAGTAGAAGTTTCCAACTTTCCTCCTATATCCTCCCAGGTCCTTAAAGGCGTGAATGTCTATCTCAAGGTCTTTAAATTTTAGGTCAGCCGCAAAAGCTAGGTGACCCACAAGCTTGGTCGCCACCGCCCTGCGAATTACAGCCCTGTATTCTGATAGTACATTCTCCGATCTAGACTTAATATTTTGAAGACTATCAGGAGCCCCCTCCTGGCAACCAGCCGTGACCGAGGGAGACAAGCGAGAGAAGGAAAGACGGGATTTCAGGGAATCGAAGAAGCTAGGATTACGGTCAAACAAATTAAGAATAGCAATTCTAGTTACCGTGTATAATCTACGCACCACCAAAGGCCACTCCCCACACTGATCTAAGGGTGCGTTCAGATTCCTCATCCGGGTGCACTCTATTACTAGAAACACTATAGTATATGTGACATATACTATAGCACTTCTAGTAATAGAATACACCCGGGTGGGGAATCTGAACGCAGCCTAACAAAATATTCGTAGGCGTTGTACACATACAGCCCAGAACGCATCTAAGAGATGCAAACTGGATTCTATCCAACTTAATAGATAGAGCGGGAGAAACTCCGACCAGAGGTGCTCCGCCATAATCAAAAACCGATCTGACCAGACCTTTGTATGCCTAAAATAGTGAGAGGGTGAGAGCCCCATCCTACGCCACCAATAGCCTTTAGAATCTTAACACTAGAGAAACAAGCTGTAACCAAGCTGTAACCAGGATAAATGATCAGTGCCTGCACACCTAAAACAAATAGCAGGAGACGTCTTGCTCCTGCACTGCTCACTGACATGCCCAAATCTCTGACAGTGTGCACATCTGATTGTTCTTTGAATGTAAGATTTTAAATATATCACCTTACCGTAGTAAGTGGCCTTATCAGGGTAGGTAGCCCCTTCGAAAGTGATGATAAAGACTTGCTGGCAGTAAATTTCGGGACGCAGTTACAATAGGCTCAGTTCCCACTTAGGGCTGCGTTCAGATTCCACATCCGAGTGTATTCTATTACTAGAAGTGCTATAGTATATGTAACATATTCTATAGTGTTTCTAGTAATAGAGTGCACCCGGATGAAGAATCTGAACGCACCCGAGTTCCCACTGAGCGCGTCACGCGCACGTCGTCTGCTGCGTCACGAGTTAACCAATGAAATCCTCTAATTAGAATGACGCGCGCGCGACGCATGACGCACTTGTTTCAATGGAACGATTTGATTGGTTAACTCGTGACGCAGGCAGATGACACGTGCGTGGCGCGCTCAGTGGGAACTCAGCCTAAGGGTCACTAAATATGGTGCCCTACATCCCCTCCACTTGCCTCAGTTTTCTCGAAGAGTCAGCAGTCTAGTTACTATATAGAAGTCTGTGGTTCCAACAGCCAACTCCGACATACGGCGTATTATGTGTTCCAGGTCCTTATGGCTTTTGCACACAGGACGCGGTAATGCTTGCCGCGTGGCAGAAGTTCGCGCGACAGCCAATCAATATGCTGCTTTCCGTAAGAGCTAGAAGGTTATTACGGAAAGCAGCATATTGATTGGCTGTCGCGCAAACTTCCGCCGCGCGGCAAGCATTACCGCGTCCTGTGTGCAGGAACCATAATTGCTAACTGAGCGCTTTTTACGCTACACACCTAATAATAAAGGCTGCGTTCCATTTCACGCATTATGCGAACATTTCCTATAATATACGTGACATGAACTATAGATAAATGCACACATAGTAGTGCGTTCAGATTCCCTACCCAGGTGCACTCTAATACTAGAAGTGCTATAGTATATGTGACATGTACTATAGTGTTTCTTGTAATAGAGTGCACCCGGATGAGGAATCTGAACGTAGTTTAGCGTGAAACGGAACGCGGCGAAAATCACATCTTTCATTAGTTCCAACAAAATCCGTTACGAGCCGCTATTTTTTCTTCTAAATTGAAGTCTTATAGCGAATTCGGTTGCTTGCACTAGTGTGCACTGAGTGCGCACTAAGGCTTGTTCATAGTATGTTATTATATTTAAAGATTGTCTTAAATAATTCTCAAATAAATTCTCAAATATTTTTAACCATAATATGATATGTATAACATCCGTACGAATCATTTTATTAGTTAAAATGTTTTTAAATATGTATTTAAGACACGATCTTAAATATAAGAATGTACTGTAAACAAGCCTTAATGCGCACTCAGTGCGCACTAGTGCAAGCTACCGAATTCGCTATTAAATTAAACATTTTTAATAAATTCCTTATTGTCGATGACTAATTCTTACTGTTAGGACATGACACATGTCAATTGATACAAATTTTAAACACTACGAAAGTTTGACTTACAAATTAATTTAATTAAAATTATACTAATTATGCGGTAAAAAACAGTGGATGCACTTTTAATTTGCAGTGTGCATTTTGTGAAGAAATAGAAGTATTGACGAACTTATCTCGCCTAGGAATAAAAACTATTTTATCGATTTTACCATTCTGATTACGAAGATCTATTACATTTCACCTAAACGACGAGGTCTTATGTTCTAGATAATTTTTAAATAATTCTTAGATATATGTAAGTTATTTTACGTTAGTTATTTATGAAATAAAAATGAAATGATATTTACTTATTAGTATCTGATAAAGTCATCTACTTAAATCTAATTAGTTTCGACGTGTGATGTGTACAAATTAAAAGAAGTTTATTTTACGGATTTAAAATGACATTTAATCCAATCCAGTCGAGTAATGACTGGAAATTAAACCGAACTCTTGGTATTGGAGGCTTTGGAACTGTTCAACTTTGGGTACATGCCCGAAGTGGCAAAAAAATTGGTAAGCTACAGCATATAAGTAAACAATATTTGTATTTTTTATTTCAAGATCCTCTTACAAGAATTTTCATATATATTCAAATTTATGCTATGTAACAATAATGAATTTTACATTTAGTATAAATTGTTAATTTTAGCAATAAAAAAATGCAAATGGGATTATTCACAATTAACACCAGAACAACGAAAAAGATGGGCTAATGAAGTTGATATAATGAGACGTCTGAAGCATCCAAACATTGTGAAAGCAGGACCATTACCATTCAAACTTCCAGATGTAGAGGAAAATCTGCCAGTTCTTTGTATGGAATATTGTAGAAAAGGAGACTTAAGAAAAGTTGTTTTTAATTTGTATAATTTATTGTGTATATTTTTTTTCTGTAATGAAATAATTTTTATTTCTTTTATTGTAGATTTTAAATAAATCAAAAAATTGTTGTGGAATTAGAGAAAGAAAAGCTGTGAAAGTAATGACTGAAATTATATCAGCTGTAGAATATTTGCATTCTTGTAATATAACTCATCGCGATTTAAAGCCAGAAAACATAGTTCTCCAGAATGAGAATAATATAGTAAGATAACATATATACAGATCAAATTTTATTAAAGTTTTTATAGACTATCTTGCAATATGTATTGAATTATATTTCTTATTTAAATTAAATTTCAGCTATCATATAAATTGATAGATCTTGGATATGCTAAAGAACTTGGAGAGGCTAGTACATCTGCTTCTTTAGTTGGTACACTGAATTATGTTGCTCCAGAACTTCTATGGAAAGAAAAATATAGTTGTTCAGTTGATTATTGGAGTTTAGGTATATTATTTTATGAACTTGTAACTGGAATGAGGCCATTCCTACCAACAATGCAACATACTATGGAATGGTAAGAAATCAACTAATTCTATAGTTTCTGCAAAAAAATAATTCTCAATTTTGCAGGATGAAACACATTCAAAATAAAGATTATGAAGATATTCATGCTTATGAATCAGAAGGGAAAATTATTTTTGGAAAAGACATTCAAGATCCGACTCACTTATCAAAGTAAAAAAAATAATATGTATATGTTATTTTTATGAACACTCTATATATGTAAAACAGGAAATTATTTTTAAAATACTTTATTTTACAAAACAAAAATTTTTTATTTATATCTAATATTGTAATATTTTTTTTATCAGTTATCTTCGAAGCAAAATGGTCCATTGGTTTAGATTGGTTTTACAATGGGATCCACGAAAAAGAGGCAAAGTCTTCAACGAATCTGGTATGGGTTATTTGATGGTATTCAAGATGCTACGACAAATATTACCAAAAAAGGTTGCATAAAGATTATATACTTTTTATATATTCGTATATCTTTTATTATTTTATATATATATATACATATCTTATGTGTGTAGATATTATATGTTTTCTGTGTCCCGCTTTATAAAATAAAAACATATGAAATAGATGGTAACACTACTGTGAAAGATGTTCAGTTATTAATAGAAAAAGATACTAATATTGAAATTGAACATCAAATATTAACTGATTACAACGGTACAATACTAATTGAAAGTACTGCATTACTTGTCTCAAAAACTAACGTATGTATAATACATTTGTACAATATATACAAATTTTCATCTAATGTGAAACTTGATTTCTAAGTTGACTATAATTTTGTTGTAGGATCAAGTTTTATTTGTCTTCAGAGATGGATGTTACTTAACTGAAGATACACCTACATTGAATATTCCCATAGAAGTGGAGAAAATGATAATACAATCAAAAGATGAATTGACTTTTGAAGTATTACAAAATTATTATCGTCACACGATCTTTTATGTAAAAGAACAAGTACATTTATTTCAGTTATATGTATTTGCTTTTAGTATAAATGTGTAAGTTCTCTATAAAATATTGTTAATCTATTATTACAATAACTGATCTTGAAATTATTATATACATCATAATATAACGTCATATTTCAGAGATTTATTACATCAGAAAATCAATACATTTAATACAAATATGGAAAATACATTGGAATGTACAAAAACTCTTATGAATCAAGTACATGTGATTCGTCGAAGATATGAGAATCCTACGACTGTAGATGCAACTGACAAAAAGAAAATCTTACATATTTATTTTGACAAAGTTGATAAATTGGTCAGTGCAGCTGATCAAATAAAAATCAAGTTTATATCTTTGAAGGAAAATAATGACAAATTCAGAGATAAAATTCAAAGTATCGATCACATGAAAGATTTGTCGGAATGGTAAGCGAACAATACAATATATTAGAAAATAATATTGTAAAAGATGTTATTTTTTGATATTTCTATATTGTTCTAATAGGTACCATAAAATATGTAACATACATGTGGAATTTAAACAGAAAAATACTCATAAGACAGCAAAACCACTGGATATGGTAAAGTTGGTGTTTGAATTTTTAAATACACTTGGAATACAACATAGCAAGAACAGTAATATAAACAGTAATATAAGGTACCAAAAATTTTATCATGAATTGTATATTAAATGCATAATGAGCATTTTAACAAGAATTTTTATTTATATGATACTGTTATGTGCATCCATTTTTAATAGACAAATATGTAATTTGCAAAATGAGTTATTGAAATTGGAGAAAATATTTAATTCAGTTACTGTTATGACAAAATTGTATTGGAAAGAATATCAGGAAATTATACAATTGGATACTGAAGTTACTTCACAAGAATACAACAGTCGGCAATTTTTGAATATCTCTGCTACTGAATTAAATAGCGCCATTCAATCGGAGGATGACGTGATATACGATAATTTAGTCATACTTCACACGTAAGTTTTTTTTTTTATTATAACATCGTTTCACTTTAAAATACTAGATTGTTTTAAATTATCATTATGTTTTTAGAATGGATAATTTAATGGCCGAAATGCATAAGAAATATTTGGAGGTGCTTAATTTTGACCCATTATCGAAGGTATAATATACATAAACACATCCCAGATAGCACAAGATCTCCTGAGGATGTCCTAAAGACGTCCTGAGGATGAAAAAATGTTCTCAGGACTTTCTCAGGATGCACTCTGGATGTTCCCTGGACATCTGTGCTGTTACAGATTCTTTCGTTTTTAAATATTTGTGCTAGAGATGGGACATCGAATAGAAATAATCGATTATAAGCTATAATCGGTATCGATATCGCCCAACTCTACTGTATGGTTGCGTTCGTTTTGGCGCTTACAACGCTCTGAGCATCATTTCATCCTTGTTTCTATCAAATACTAAACAAGGACAAATGATGCTTACACGCGCTAAAACGAACGCAACCAATGTATAATCGATTATAAATATAATCGGTATTGATATCGCCCATCTCTAATCTGTGCTTTGGAAGATAAAAACCCATAAAAACTTTGACAAAGAGTCATCTTTTCAGTTATAATTTTCGTTTTTGTGAAATATTCATATTGTGTACATGTCATTTCAAAGTATTAAGTATAATTTTATATATTTTATAACAAAATCGAAAAAATTGGTTTTTTATTTTAAAATGTAGGTATCAGTTTGGTTGTTGAGCATTAACACACTATATATTTTTAATTAGATCTCACACCAGTTTATTAGACTTTAAACAGTATTATAAAGTGCATATTTTAGTTATGAAATCTTTTTTGTTTGGAACGTTTACATTTTTATTTGATATTATTACTAGATTGATCAATTAATGCGTGGAACATAATGACGTATACCCCATTTAATGTTGGCATGCTTGTCAGTTTTAACAAATGTATAAACAGGCATGTTCAATAGTTCTGTTTTTATTATTTGATGTCTATCCTTATGACCTGTTAAAAAAATATATTTCTTATTTGTATTCTGTACAAAACACACATTCTCTCTCTTTCTATATCGAATTGTTAGGAAATATACATATACATATATATATATATATATATATATATATATATATATATATATATATATATATATATAT